AATGTGGCAATAAGTAGGAGTTTATCAGGAACTGCTGCAGTTCCTCTGGTTGCCATGAGAGGTCAACACATGCAAAACATTACTTCATGCTCCATTGAGAATATAAATTCACCAAATATACTGTTGCAGTTTATAGGCACAACAATAAACATCTTCACTGAATATATTTGTTGTAGCTCTTTGTACCTTTAACAGAGACTCTTGCTCTTGTATAGAATGTATATCCAACTTCCCTCCCATTCAGGAAACCATTTACTCTCAGTTGATATGATCCAGAGTCAAACTCAGTGAGGTCATTGATGATGATGCTGCAGTTCCCCTGATTCACATCAGGCTCCAACAGTGACACTCGTCCTTTGAACCCAGACTGAACTTCGTTATTTCTGTTGGTGTTAAATATAATGTCTGAATCATCACATAGTTCATATGCTTCACATTTGTACCAAACTATATGTTGGGGTATAAAGCCATATCCAGTGGTGAAAAGACACGGTATCACAACACAGAGTCCGGCCTCTGCTGTTATTTCTCCTTTACTAAGAGTGATACAGTATCCTCTGTCACAGAATGGTCTTCTCCAATCTACACCTGTTAATAAAGACAATGAAAGAATATTAGAATATTTAAATTTTGATAATGCACCATATTTGATAAATTATGAAGGAAGGCTACTATGACTGTTTTTGAATGCATCATAATTTCAGCATTTAACATGTTTCTTTATCCCTTATACATATGATTAACAAAATGTCCATTTATATAACAACGCCATCGTTTCCAACTCAGTTAATAGATGCTGTGAGGAATGCTACTATGGCGCTAAATTTAATATAGTTAAGGACATTAATCACGGCAGATTATATCTATCTATGTCATTCATATCTTTAATGCCGGCATCATAACAAGATTATAATAAAAAGATGCAAACCTGTGTCAGCATTGCTGCCTCTCACAGAGAACAGCAGGGTCACCAGGATGACAACAAACATCCTGATTTGATGTTTGAGACAGACAGTCTCTCCCTCCACAGGATAAACTTTACCCTGAAAATACAGTGAAGATAGAGGAACTAAATCAAAGGAAGCTCCACAGCTGACATCACAGACGAGAATACAGGATGTTGCAGGTTTAGTTATTCTTTAGTTGCGAGATTAAGAAACTTTACCCTGACATTTGTTGTGGTACGGCACGTAGGTTTCAGTTACACTTGTCATTTTAATGTGACTTATGTTATCCAACCATGCCAGGATGCATTAACTGTCAAGGCTAGATCAGAACTTGACTGCACTGGGATCTGATCAGTCTGACCACATACCAAAGTGGCCTGGCTCGCACTAAGTTTGGATCTCAGTGAGGTGTGGACATCATGTATACACAATCCGGTCAATTTATAACGTAGGTCAACCTCCCCCACACAGGGGAGTTCCTCTCCAGAGAGCTAAAGAAAGAGCGGGGCTGTTGCAAGACCTGTTGTCTTGGTTTGAATCCGCTGAACTCGGCACGTCAGCCCAGCATGGACTGGATTTATATTTCCATTACAACAGGGCTACCCGTGTGTCTTCAACTGATGATGGCTTGTCTTTAGTCGATGAGGTTTAAAGCAAAGGGCTGATCCACAGCTAAAGAGCCCATATTATTTTGCTGTAATTTTTTCCACAATAAAAGTCCCCTGTTATTTTGTTATTTAGCAGCAAAATAAGGGAATGTTACGTATTCACATACAGCTGACAGCAAACATGAGACAGTAAAATAAAGTAGATATATTAAAGTACAAACAGTGACAACCATGTATGTACTGTTTAGCTGTTTGCTCATGTCAGCTATGTGCTAATATAAGCAAACCACAAATCACAGTCCACAGCCTAGTGGAGATGTATCCACTTAAAAAAAATGGGTGAGTACTTGCTATCTTTGTATGTTTGTACTTTTAAAACAGAAAACACATGTTTGCATGTCCTGTTTGTGGACAACCACAAATCCATCCATCCATGCAGCAATACACCTAATCCATATCCAATCAGCCAGGTCACACTGAAATGTCAAGTGTGGACACATGATGTGCGGACATAGCTCAGTTTCAATCTGGTGCATCTAATCACAAAAGTTGCATTGAAAAGACAAGTGTAACCACAGTTTTAGCGATATCTGCTCTCAAAACATCCTTTATACTGTAAAGGATCTTTTCTACAATAATCTACACAGCAACTGCAGCTTTGTGCCCCCAGAATCACTTACTGAACACACCAACTGTGACGAAAACAAACTGATACTCCTACGCCAAAGCACTCTTGATCAAGCACAGTCCAACTTTACTAGCAAATCAAATAAATATACACAAAGATGTTTATTGTATTAGTCAGGGAAGAATGAATCACTTCCACAACTTTAATTAACAGCCCAAAACATATATGTTTAAATACATATCCTAAACATAAATATAAATGTTATATAAATGTTTTACCTCTTTCTGTGTCACTGTCCTGTGGTCTTCTCTCCACACTGGTCAGAATAATTCTGCTCTGAACTGGTTCTTCCTCTCCTCACTTTTTTATTTCTTCCCTCTTTGTGCAACAATCAGGTTTAAGGAAGTTTCCCCACACGCTGCTGAGCAACATTTCTCCTCTCCTTAGACTGACAAGCTTATGTACACTTATGTCATTACATTACAGTATGTGTATCATATATCTAATTATAAACCTGTACCTTTAAAATTGAATTATCAAAAATGTTTTAAGTTGCTGTTTTTTTATTTTATTGTATCCTCTCCATGATCAAAGTAATGTGAGTATTTTGAAATAGGGAAGTGATGTAAATATGTGATTTTTTTTTCCCCCAAATAACATCTTGAGAAACCACAAACTAGTGAAAGCACTGAACACTTCTCTTTTTTTTAATTTGTTTGTTTTTTAAGGGTTTATATTAAACAACTGATTGGAAATACAGTATATCTAATTAAATTGCTTTAACAATGCACAACACATATACTGTGCATAGTTGTAAATGGTCTGTGTTACTTGCTAAAATCTGCAGTGAGAGTTGAGTGATGATGGTCAGATGAACATTGTTTTACTCCTGCATTAAAATGATAACTTGTGACGGATATGGTCACAGGTAGTTATAGGTATTGAAATACTTAACTGGGAAGCTGCTCAGCATTTCCCCATTTCAACTGCATGGGGTCTCTAAGGAAACACTAAGCAAATTTGTCACTGTAATGTTTATCTACAGTATATCCATGCTTTATACAGCACCACTGTGTTCTTGGTAACTTCCTGTTTGCACTTTAAGGTAGGGGTGGGCAACAGAGTGATCTTGATAAAGAATAACAATACAATAAAAAATATGTTGATATGAATGATAAGCTTTAGACATTTTTACTGATATGGACATATTTACAGCCTATCACACAGCAGAAATTAATGCCACGAGTCACGACAGCTGGTCAGTCTGCTGCCTCTCTTCTCTCTGTCACTGGCTGTTTGCAGGAGGGCGGGCCTATGCTCAACGTGCATAGACAGCGGTGAAACTTCAGAGCAGAGCCCACAGTGAAGGGAAAGAAACAGACTGTAGGATATATTAAAGTGGAGTCACGGACATCATTGCTGATTATCCATAAATGCAACAAATGGGAGACAGTAGGGCTGCCCATGACTAAGAATTTTCCTAGTCGACCAATAGTCATCATTTAGGGCCATTAGTCGACTAGTCGCCCGCATGTTTACGATATTAATTCAATTATTAAATGATATATTTTGGGCGGGGCAACACAATGGTTTGAGTTGAAGGTGTGAGAAAGAATAGTATCAGTAACATTGTTACCACTGTGCTACATTACAGAGAAATACAAAACCGTGCTAATGAACCTTCATTAATATAGGCCTATATTTTATCTACAAGTGCACGTCACACACTGAGCNGATTCACATCAGGCTCCAACAGTGACACTCGTCCTTTGAACCCAGACTGAACTTCGTTATTTCTGTTGGTGTTAAATATAATGTCTGAATCACCACATAGTTCATATGCTTCACATTTGTACCAAACTATATGTTGGGCTATAAAGCCATATCCAGTGGTGAAAAGACACGGTATCACAACACAGAGTCCGGCCTCTGCTGTTATTTCTCCTTTACTAAGAGTGATACAGTATCCTCTGTCACAGAATGGTCTTCTCCAATCTACACCTGTTAATAAAGACAATGAAAGAATATTAGAATATTTAAATTTTGATAATGCACCATATTTGATAAATTATGAAGGAAGGCTACTATGACTGTTTTTGAATGCATCATAATTTCAGCATTTAACATGTTTCTTTATCCCTTATACATATGATTAACAAAATGTCCATTTATATAACAACGCCATCGTTTCCAACTCAGTTAATAGATGCTGTGAGGAATGCTACTATGGCGCTAAATTTAATATAGTTAAGGACATTAATCACGGCAGATTATATCTATCTATGTCATTCATATCTTTAATGCCGGCATCATAACAAGATTATAAATAAAAGATGCAAACCTGTGTCAGCATTGCTGCCTCTCACGGAGAACAGCAGGGTCACCAGGATGACAACAAACATCCTGATTTGATGTTTGAGACAGACAGTCTCTCCCTCCACAGGATAAACTTTACCCTGAAAATACAGTGAAGATAGAGGAACTAAATCAAAGGAAGCTCCACAGCTGACATCACAGACGAGAATACAGGATGTTGCAGGTTTAGTTATTCTTTAGTTGCGAGATTAAGAAACTTTACCCTGACATTTGTTGTGGTACGGCACGTAGGTTTCAGTTACACTTGTCATTTTAATGTGACTTATGTTATCCAACCATGCCAGGATGCATTAACTGTCAAGGCTAGATCAGAACTTGACTGCACTGGGATCTGATCAGTCTGACCACATACCAAAGTGGCCTGGCTCGCACTAAGTTTGGATCTCAGTGAGGTGTGGACATCATGTATACACAATCCGGTCAATTTATAACGTAGGTCAACCTCCCCCACACAGGGGAGTTCCTCTCCAGAGAGCTAAAGAAAGAGCGGGGCTGTTGCAAGACCTGTTGTCTTGGTTTGAATCCGCTGAACTCGGCACGTCAGCCCAGCATGGACTGGATTTATATTTCCATTACAACAGGGCTACCCGTGTGTCTTCAACTGATGATGGCTTGTCTTTAGTCGATGAGGTTTAAAGCAAAGGGCTGATCCACAGCTAAAGAGCCCATATTATTTTGCTGTAATTTTTTCCACAATAAAAGTCCCCTGTTATTTTGTTATTTAGCAGCAAAATAAGGGAATGTTACGTATTCACATACAGCTGACAGCAAACATGAGACAGTAAAATAAAGTAGATATATTAAAGTACAAACAGTGACAACCATGTATGTACTGTTTAGCTGTTTGCTCATGTCAGCTATGTGCTAATATAAGCAAACCACAAATCACAGTCCACAGCCTAGTGGAGATGTATCCACTTAAAAAAAATGGGTGAGTACTTGCTATCTTTGTATGTTTGTACTTTTAAAACAGAAAACACATGTTTGCATGTCCTGTTTGTGGACAACCACAAATCCATCCATCCATGCAGCAATACACCTAATCCATATCCAATCAGCCAGGTCACACTGAAATGTCAAGTGTGGACACATGATGTGCGGACATAGCTCAGTTTCAATCTGGTGCATCTAATCACAAAAGTTGCATTGAAAAGACAAGTGTAACCACAGTTTTAGCGATATCTGCTCTCAAAACATCCTTTATACTGTAAAGGATCTTTTCTACAATAATCTACACAGCAACTGCAGCTTTGTGCCCCCAGAATCACTTACTGAACACACCAACTGTGACGAAAACAAACTGATACTCCTACGCCAAAGCACTCTTGATCAAGCACAGTCCAACTTTACTAGCAAATCAAATAAATATACACAAAGATGTTTATTGTATTAGTCAGGGAAGAATGAATCACTTCCACAACTTTAATTAACAGCCCAAAACATATATGTTTAAATACATATCCTAAACATAAATATAAATGTTATATAAATGTTTTACCTCTTTCTGTGTCACTGTCCTGTGGTCTTCTCTCCACACTGGTCAGAATAATTCTGCTCTGAACTGGTTCTTCCTCTCCTCACTTTTTTATTTCTTCCCTCTTTGTGCAACAATCAGGTTTAAGGAAGTTTCCCCACACGCTGCTGAGCAACATTTCTCCTCTCCTTAGACTGACAAGCTTATGTACACTTATGTCATTACATTACAGTATGTGTATCATATATCTAATTATAAACCTGTACCTTTAAAATTGAATTATCAAAAATGTTTTAAGTTGCTGTTTTTTTATTTTATTGTATCCTCTCCATGATCAAAGTAATGTGAGTATTTTGAAATAGGGAAGTGATGTAAATATGTGATTTTTTTTTCCCCCAAATAACATCTTGAGAAACCACAAACTAGTGAAAGCACTGAACACTTCTCTTTTTTTAAATTTGTTTGTTTTTTAAGGGTTTATATTAAACAACTGATTGGAAATACAGTATATCTAATTAAATTGCTTTAACAATGCACAACACATATACTGTGCATAGTTGTAAATGGTCTGTGTTACTTGCTAAAATCTGCAGTGAGAGTTGAGTGATGATGGTCAGATGAACATTGTTTTACTCCTGCATTAAAATGATAACTTGTGACGGATATGGTCACAGGTAGTTATAGGTATTGAAATACTTAACTGGGAAGCTGCTCAGCATTTCCCCATTTCAACTGCATGGGGTCTCTAAGGAAACACTAAGCAAATTTGTCACTGTAATGTTTATCTACAGTATATCCATGCTTTATACAGCACCACTGTGTTCTTGGTAACTTCCTGTTTGCACTTTAAGGTAGGGGTGGGCAACAGAGTGATCTTGATAAAGAATAACAATACAATAAAAAATATGTTGATATGAATGATAAGCTTTAGACATTTTTACTGATATGGACATATTTACAGCCTATCACACAGCAGAAATTAATGCCACGAGTCACGACAGCTGGTCAGTCTGCTGCCTCTCTTCTCTCTGTCACTGGCTGTTTGCAGGAGGGCGGGCCTATGCTCAACGTGCATAGACAGCGGTGAAACTTCAGAGCAGAGCCCACAGTGAAGGGAAAGAAACAGACTGTAGGATATATTAAAGTGGAGTCACGGACATCATTGCTGATTATCCATAAATGCAACAAATGGGAGACAGTAGGGCTGCCCATGACTAAGAATTTTCCTAGTCGACCAATAGTCATCATTTAGGGCCATTAGTCGACTAGTCGCCCGCATGTTTACGATATTAATTCAATTATTAAATGATATATTTTGGGCGGGGCAACACAATGGTTTGAGTTGAAGGTGTGAGAAAGAATAGTATCAGTAACATTGTTACCACTGTGCTACATTACAGAGAAATACAAAACCGTGCTAATGAACCTTCATTAATATAGGCCTATATTTTATCTACAAGTGCACGTCACACACTGAGCAAGCCGCCTGTTAATGACGCTGTCGGCAAAGCATGATTGTGCTAAGTAGCTAATGGGCATGTAGCTACTTCCATGTTTCAGATGATATGTCATGTTTGTAGTCGACCAATGAAGATGAGTTTACATATCACCTTGGGTTCGTCCTTCACCTTCTAAAAATGATCCCACACTTTGGATTTCCTGCCCGACACGTTAACTAGCCTGTGAGTAAGAAGTAAGTGGATCTTTAAGTGTTACGGGGTTACTGCACAGACATTGTTTCTGGCACTACATACTGATTTAAGTGCTCATTAAAGTTATGGGTAGAAACTGGTAGGGGTGGAGGAAACAAAATCAATACATTATAGTATCGTGATATTTTGTGTGGCAATATTGTATTGATAGATAAACAATAAATTCTGATATTTTATTGTAGTAATTATGATTGTTGCAAATACAAATTAAACTTTTGGTAGACTGAGAGTAATTGCTTTTTCAGTTCACTAGATGCATGTTGCTGCAATAAAAATTACAGTAATACATTACAGTATTGTGATATTTTGTGTGACACTATTGTATTGATATTTTATTGTAGTAATTATTAATGTTGCAAATACAAAATAACTTTTGGTAGTCATCTAGAATAATCGCTTTTTCAGTTCACAAGATACATGTTGCTGCTATAAAAATGATGGACGTGTGATGACTTAACAAGTGTGACTGATACTATCTTATTAGATAAAAACACCTGTTAACAAAGTTTTGAAAAAAGGTAATACATTGCAATATATATCACAATTGCAATTACTTTATAACAAAACAAAATGTCTAAACAAGCCACTGAGGGGCGAACGGGTGAACTTGTTCCGGATGAATGTTCTGGGCTAACAATAAACCAATGTCCAGTGCGCTTGAACACTTTGGATTTTCATTTACTCTCAATACAATATACACATGCTCATTATAACACAGAGGAGCAATAGCATTGCCCATTTGTAATCATTATGACTTTTCAACATGCTTCGACAACACGGTCAAAAACTGTTTGCTTCCCCTTTCAACACTTGGTTCTCATTACCTGGAGCTTACCTATATGCCCTTCACATGAATGCTCCACCCTGTGTTCAGTTTAATAACTGCATGTGTATATTTACTTTTATCTTGTTTAGATAAGGACAGAATACACAAACAAACTATATTGTGGCTCCAACAACAATATATGTTATTGCAATACTCAGCATATAGCAAGACGTCTGAAGTCACAATAATGTTGGAACATGAGTTAAGTATCCTGATGATATTGTATCAGGGGGTCTTTGTTGATTCCTACTCCTAGAAACCGGAATGACGCATAAGCATACATGCAAAAAGAAGGCAGTAAAGGATTGAAGGTAGCATGTATACTCAAACTGACTGTAAAGGGAAAGTTATGGTGATATGGTGTGGGAATAATATGGAGGAGTGATAAAAGTACTTAATAGAGGCGCAAAATGTGACTGCCATATGTCAGATTTATCAGCTGTAGGGTCAAATTTATACAAGATATTACATTTAAAGTTTTAGGTTTACATCAATATCAAATACATGACTCACACATGACTGACATCTAGCCTACGGGATACATAAACAGTCAACATGTAGTATAAATCATTTGTGCATTATGCAGCACAACAATCCAGAGCAGGGATGTAAAATACCTCAACAAGTAACAACCGGGCTACAAACTATCAGAAATCACACATGGCAGAAGATGTGACTTTATAGCTGACAAGTGGTGAGAAGTAACTGAGTACATGCAGTACTGCATTTAAACACAATTTAGAGAAACCTGTACTTGTGTGTTTCCATTTTATAGCCTTCTTCAGGAAAATATTATACTTTTCACTCCATGTCATATAATTTATGACTGGTGTGTACTTAGCTACTTTGTTGATATGTATTTTTTTTTATAAATAACCTATAAAGTGAACTGTTATAGGTGGAAATATCTATAAATAACATATAGTACACACTGAGTCACATGTACAAGCTAGAACAATAAAATGTTTTAGGTAATGTCAAATACTTGAATGCAGAGCTTTAAGTTGTACGCTAATGTAGTATTTTACACTGTTTTGTTGCTGCTTTAATAACGTTACTTCTTACACTACAGCATCAGCAACAGGTACACAACTATGTTATGTTACATACAGCAGAGGCTGAATAAGCCACGAGAGAGGTTCAGTTTGTTACTTACCGGAGTTTGAAGAACTGCGACCTGTCTTTCATGTCGGCAAAATAACAAGCAACCATGTGATATTAAGTCCAACTACAGTTGTTGTCTTCCAACACAAATGCTCCATAATATTTTGGAAAAGTTATCAAACTGTCCGTCCTTTGTTCAATGTCTGTTCCAGGTTAGCATCGAATGCTAATGCTGCTAGCTAAAAACCATAGACTGTATAAAGCTAAAAACACGGAGCTGATAGCATTGGTGATACAGACGTTTAGGTAATTCCCGACTGTTTAAGTCGAAGGGTGTTGCTATTTTTCACCGATTAAATAAATAACTGAGTAAATATTTACATGAATAAGAATAAACAAATAAAAGTTTCAAAGTTTCTTTCAGAGTCTTGAAGATGCACACCTTCGCATAAAGTTACTAATCAACGGACATCAACGCCACCTGTAGACCTGAGTGATTGGTACGGAGGCCCTGAGAGTTCAAACTACTACATGCAAATAGACAGACAAACAAAAAGGAAATAATCGTCACCAATTTGACAACATTTGACAAGGCAAAAAATAAATATATAGGTACTAAAATAAAAAAAATGGAATAACATAACATAAAACAACAGAAAATACAGCTGTTTTTGTATGCATTTTATTCATTTGTTTCTTGTATATTTTCTTATACCTATGTTGTAGAGTTGATTGCTGTTTTTTTTTTTAATCTCATGGCACTATCTTAAATGTTGATTATGTTCTTGCCTTTTAGCTTCCTACCTACCTTCCTACCATGAGATGAGATGAGGTTATAATTGTGTTTATAAAGTATCCTGAGGGTGACTGCTGTGCAGCTGTTGCAATACAGAGTGGAACAAGTGCAAATATAAAAATCTAAGACAACAATAATATGCAAATACAGGATGTTTACAGGTCCTTCAAAGGTCTTAAAATATCTTAAATTAAGTTTTCTTAAAATAAGGCCTTAAAAAGTCTTAAATTGTGTTAAATTCTGATTTCACGGGTCACATATTTTTGGTCACATTACCACGGAAATGTCTCCAGGCCGACAGACCCAGTGACTGTTTACAATCATTGGACAGACCGAAGAACTGTAATAATAAATAGCATTTATGACAGTGATCACGATATGACAATGATTTTCCTTTTACATGAAACACATTAACCTTAAACTCACCCAATTGTTGGCATTTTTCCTTACTGTTTGAACTGACATCAGTGTGTTTACTTGGAAAGAGTTCTTACACATGTGCATCACACACACACACACACACACACACACACACACACACACAGTATATATAGTGTGTATTTCCATTGCAGGTTTGGTCTTCAATTTCATATAAGGTGGTATTAAAAAGGTCTTTAAAAGTTTGAAATTTAACTTGGTTATATCTATAGACACCTTGGAGTAGGATGCAAATCCATCAGTCAGGTCAATGGTATGGCTCATATATACGTACAATATCATATCTGAAGCTTGGGCATTCAAAAGCATTGTGCGCCTCTTGCTTAAAAAGTGCTGAAAAAAATGATTACTATTTCTGTTGAAGGTGAACTGCTGATGCAGCTATACTTTCATACACTAAATGAAGGCACACGATTTTTTTAAAAACAATATATCAAATCCAGTGCAAGAAATCCTGTATCGGAGCTGGCTGAAAGTCATCCCAATAGACTGTGAAGACATGGTGGAAGCTGCCATTTGTTAGTCCTGAGGTTGGCCAATAACATCCGACTCTTGAACCACTGATGCATCCATACATCCACACAAACTGAATGATGGCAAAGGAGCTTCAACACGTATAGAGTGCTGAGTTTGGCCATTAACATCATACTCTGGTGATCTGTCTGTTTTCTGCAGAGACATGTAAGTTCTGTCCTCTTGATTTGGTGTCACCTTTGTTCTTGCTTTCCTTTGGAGAGAGAGAAAGCAGAAGCAGAAGTAGTAACATACCAAAGGAATATCATGAAGATAGTGTAGAGGATGTTCACACTTTGAGATACACCAGCAACAGCCCAGGGAAGTACTGCACTGTGAGGTCCACACTGCTGCAAAGGACCTTCCTTAAAAAAAGGGATGTAAACACATCTTTATGAGTCATAATGGCCTCATAATATATTGTGCTTTGGAAAACAGAAGTGTATAGTAAAGCAATATGATCATATCATTATAAATCTGAAAGTGTATCTCTGTTAAAGTCTATAAACGCTATTGATGTGTTCACACCTGCCCGAACGAACCGCCCTTAGGGGGCAAACAAACTTGAGATTGAGTGAACCGAACCAAAAAAGGCAGGTGTGAAAGCACCCTAAGAGTCAGATCCACCCCTCGCTCATTCACAGCTCCACCCTCTCATCCAAATATGGTCACTTCTGGCTCTAAAGAACAAAGATAGTGACGGCCTAAATGCCAAACTCAAGGCTTCAAAACAGGAGTCCACAAACCAGTGGGTTACATCACCTCAGTTGCATACATTATTTTATACAGTCTGTGGTTGGGCAGGAGAGGAGGGGGATTCGTCAAACAAACTGGACTTTAACAGCAGAGACTGAGTTATTTCAATAACGAAGTACTGTACTAGTATGTGTAGCATACTATGCTACTGACACATGCCAGGCGACGTTGTTATGTTTGTAACAAACAGGCTTATTTTAAGCCAATCCATTTTTTTTTTAAATATAACCACATGCTTTTGTTGCTTAACCCAAAAAGGTTTTACTCATGTTCTAAGTTTATTTTGAAAAAGACATGCAGAAATAAACAGAAACTGTGCATTTCCTGTAAAAACAGAAGTTTATTTTGAAAAGACACGATGCATGTTAAGAGTGTAAATTGATACACCATCCCTGAACTTCCAAAACAGACACAGGAGGGTACCTAGCAATCATATTTTGAGGTGATGGGTTACTGACCAAGCATGAATGTGTTGCATTTGGAACACCTCTGACAGGACATTTATCATGACAAATTATTGATAACTATTTTGTGAAGTATTACCCTTAATTCTGGCGTCATAACAACATACCTGTGTCAGCATTGCTGCCTCTCACAGAGAAAAGCAGAGTTGCCCAGATGAGACCAAACATTCTGATCTGATGTCAGTCTTTCCCCACAACACCACAGACTTCACACTGAAAGTGCAGCAAACATGCAGGAAGTTCAATTGATGAGACTGAAACAAAGGAAACTCCACCATTGACCTCACTCTTAACAGAAGGCTGTTGCACATTCAGTAATTCCACAGTTGCTTCATTTAATTTCGTTACCACATCACACAGGGCGGGGGCACTGTGTTACTTATTGTGAAGCAGTTTGTGAAATCTGTTGTAGAAATGTGCTATGTAGAAAAGCAAAGTTACAATAGCTCAACACAGCTCTGAAACAATAAAGATCTACAACCTCTGCAATATTCCAGCCCCAAGTATGACAAACACTAACTTCAACAAAGTAAATATCTGTAATCCTCCCAACCACAAGCACAGTTTCTCTATTCTAATTTATGATTCAAAGCCATTTTATAAGATAAGGTAAATGTTTTGTTTTACCTCTATATATCTTGTTCTGCTGCTCTCTTCTCTCCACAGTGATCTCTGCAGTGTTTCTGCTCTGAACTGACCCTTGCCCTCCTCACTTTTCTATTTCTGTCCTCTTTTTGCAACAAAAAGGATTTAGGGAGTGTCCCTGCCAAGTGTTGGACGTTAGTTCTCGTCTTCTGCGAGTGACACACTGACACTGTTTCCACTCACTGTTTTTTATGTGACAGTGTTAATATTGTATAATACTTTGTCATTTACAGCTTCTTCATATATTGCTTCAATAATACACACCATAATCAGACTTGTGTTACTATACATGTTACTGGCTAATACCTGTCATGTTCTCCTCGATGGCTCTAAATCCACTCTCACTAACACTCCTAGTTTCACCATCCCCATTGACAACTCCCCTCAAGTTAAGAGTCTGGGTGACATCCTTGACAGCACTCTGTCATTCCAATCCCACATCAATAACACTACCTGGCCAGCCTATTTCCATCTACGCATTATTAATCGTCTCCGTCCATCCCTCACCCTCAACAGCACTGCCATCCTGGTCCACACTCTGGTTACATCCCACCTGGATTATTGTAACTCCCTTTTCTTTGGTCTGCCCCAAAAGACCATCCATAAGCTCCAGTTGGTCTAGAACTCCATCCATCAGTCACATCACACCTACCCTACAACAACTTCACTGGCTTCCGGTCAGATACTGCATGGACTTGAAAATTCTGCTTCACGCTTTCAAGGCCATTCGTAACCTCGCTCCCCCATACCTCTCTGACCTCCTCCACATCAACACTCAGGTTGGCCTCTTCCATCAGCCTCATTGTGCCCTCTGCCTGTCTGTCCACCATGGGACAGGGACTCTGCAGCCACTCTGCCCCACGCCTCTGGAACCTCCTCCCTCCCGACATCAGGAACTTTGACTCATCCATTTTCAAATCCCGCCTGAAAACCCACCTTTTTAAACAGGCCTATTCTCTTTAATTGCCATTGCTCTGCTGCAGATTTCACATTTTACTGTGTTGATGTTTGATGTGTCTTTTACCCCTTTTAAATTCAATTGTCTTTTACTTGTTCTGTAAGGTGACCTTGAGTGCCTTGAAAGGCGCCTTTATGCCGGTTAGGTAATAGTGGTCAAGTGAACATTATATTGGCCATGTATTTTTTTTCAAAAAAAGGAAGTTGACTAGCAAGTCTGAGTTGCAGATTAAGCACGATGCCCAACCACTGACATAATTAATTAAGTTGCTGATGAAGTCTCACCAGAGGTTACATTGTTTCAACTTAAGTGTGTGTTTAAGAATTATTTCTCATGCATTATCCCATTAGTGTATTGTGCTCTTACCACCACTAGATGGCACATAAAAGTGTCCATGAATGAGGACAACAAGTCTGAGGTAAGTAGAATAATGTATTAGGTCAAATAAACCCAAAATGTGATGTCCTCATATGAAGACGCAGGGTCTCTGTCAGGCTCAATGTGCCATAGGTTCAATATTCTTTGAGCGAAACACTCATAGTTCTGTGCAGCCATAATGACTTTTCATTGTTTGTGATATGTGGCAAAGGAAACCTCTACAACTAATCTACAAATCAAAATTGCCTTTATTGTCAAAAAGAATTGCATACACCATACTGCAAAGATAATCAGGTTGGTTTTAAAGAGTGTATTCAAGGCACATTGTTAAAGACACAGTTGTGACCACAATGACAGCTCATAAACATTGTATGATAAAATAATATAAAAATATCAAATAATTAATTTCACTTGAAAACGTCTGTTTCCAGATCTCCAGACTCGTTGAGAAATCTGCAAAGCACTTAAATCCCAGGCACCTACAACAGATGACTATGATTATACTGGAATAATGTGTACTCAGTGGACTTCCCCTGGTTCAGTAAATGTAAACAAAAAAATATATATATACTGTAAAATACTAAATATAGGTGCGGTAAAATAAAAAAAAAAGAAACTGAGAAGCGTTTTACTTATAACATGTACACATTTTAAATCAGAGTATGGAAGTATCATATTCTATGACACTCAGTGGAAGCTGAACCTTGTTAGCTCAGAGGATGGCCAATCACATCATACTCCGGTGATGTTTCTGTTTTCTTCAGTGACATGTACGTTCTGTCCTCTTGCTTTGGTTTCACCTTTTTTCTTGTGATCCTTTGGAGAGAATAAAGAGAGACACCTGATGTCAAAGTCTCTACTGCATTAACAGAGCCTTCAGAGCTTAAAATGATGAAGTAAAACCCCAGTTCCAGAAAAGTTGCGATGCTGTGTAAAACCTAAATAACAACAGAATGCAATGATCTGTAAATCCTTTTTGACCTATGTTCCACTGAATACAGTACAGAGACAAGATATTTAAAGTTCAAAGTGATAAACTTTATTGTTGTCTGTAAATATACACTTACTATGATTTTGATGCCTGCAACATGTTCCAAAAAAGTTGGGACAGGGATATGTGTTACATCACCTCTTCTTTTAACAACACTCAGTAAGCGTTAAGGAACTGAGGACACTACGTTGAAGTTTTGAGAGTGTAATTCTGCCCTAGTCTTGCTCGATATACGACTTCAGTTCCTCAACAGTCCAGGATCTCTGTTGTTGTATTTTGCATTTCATACACATGTTCAGTGTTAGAAAGGTCTGGACTGCTAATTTTTGATGATACTATGGATTGTAGATGATGAAATCCATAAATGTCTTACAACTGTGTGTTGAGAAACGTTGTTCTTACACTGTTGGGCTCTTTGCCCATGCAGTTTTTTGGTGAACTTCACGCTATCCTTGCTTGAGAGCAACTGAGCCTTTCGTGGATGTCCCTTTCATACTGAATCATGATACTATCACCTGTTACCAATTAACCTGTTTGTTTTTTGAGCATTTCACAACTTCCCCAGCCTTTCGTTGCCCCTGTCCCAACGTCTTTGCAACATGTTGCAGGCATTAAATTCAGAATGAGTGTATATATTTACAAATAACAATACAGTTTGTCAGTTTGAACATTATATATCTTGTCCTATGATGTATTCAATTCATTATATGTCAAAAAAGATTTTCAAATCAATGCATTCTGTTTTTATTTACATTTCACAAAGCATCCAGACTTTTTTTTTTTGGAATCAGGGTTGTAGTAACATACCAAAGGAATATGAAGGGGATCATGCAGAGGACATTCACAGTAAGAGATACAACAGCGACGACAGTCAAGAGAGGCACTGCACTTGGTCCATGTTCATCTGCTATTGGAAATAACACAATATAGATTATATAACTGTTCAAGTGTTATTTTAATGTTGTACACTTAGTGGCTACTGTGTTAGCTAGACACCTCCATTTACAGTGTTACCTGTAAATGACTGATACCAAAAACTACAAAAATCTTTTGATGAAATTATTCAAGAATATACAAATGGGCTTTGTAACGCCAAAGAAGAAACAAGGATGAGACCTTTCATCCTAATTTATATTTTAATAGAATCAGTTCAACAAACTATATACATATATAGTGTCCCTGGTTCCCTCCCTGTGCGGAGTTAGCATGTTCTCCCCATGTCAGCGTGGGTTTTCTCTGGGTACTCTGGCTTCCTCCCACAGTCCAAAGACAGGCAGGTTAATTGGTGACTCTAAATTGTCCGTAGGTTGAATGTGAGCGTGAATGGTTGTCTGTCTCTATGTGTCAGCCCTGCAACAGTCTGGCAACCTGGTGTACCCCGCCTCCCAATGTCAGCTGGGATAGGCTCTGGCAGGGTCTGGGCTAAGCCCCAAATGTTCCCAAATCCTAGAAACACCTCTGTGTACACTGACCTGTGCAGGAGCTGCTGCAACTTTTTTGCCTCTTGGCAAAGATAAATGAGCACAGCAAATGTTGAAAAGTAAAAAACAGGCAATTAATTTACTGATAAATATTATTGTTTGTTTGGTTATTAACTGGCCCCTAGCTTCTTTTCATTTTGCAAAAGCGGCCTGATGCCTGCTGTGACCAACTGTTGATGGACACACCCATGGCACCCTGGGAACTGTCTATTTACCACTGATCACTGATTTGTGATCATTCCTGTATTTCCTTGAATATTATGCTGTAGTTGTTAATACAGGCTATCATTAGGTTGCATTTGTGCAGTACAATGAGCAAAGTCCATTCTCTGACCTGCAGTCCGTTTCAGTAGTTATAGGACAATAACTCTCTATTATTGTGTTTGATGCTCTGCCTTAATACATATGACACACCATCAAGCTGTAAAAAAATTCTGTTTTGGCTGATATTGAATGTGCCAAATGATGTGCAGAAAGCTTTGATGCTGATGAGGCCAAAATGTTGTGAAGGTAACCCACCCACTACAGACTGCATGTCATCATCTTCTTGGTAGTGTCATCAGAAACAGTTGAACATACATTACGTTATCAATGCATTTTTACTGATATCATTGATTGGTGATGCGTGTGTGTGTTCACCTTCTCGCCTCTCTGAAGTTATGATGATGATGTCTGCTTTTGATTCCCCACCTTCATTACTGCTCACACACTCAATAGAAATGTTGCTGTGGTCCTTGACAGTTAGGGTGAGGCTGCTGTTGACCATGTGGTTTGACACAGTGGTCGTAACAGAGTACTCTGCTTGGTTCTTCAACAGCGGCCATCTGATGGTGGGTAAAGGAAACCCCTCACTGATACACAAACAGGTCAGGACCACTGACTGAAGCTCACACTTAGAGCTATTTAGGATCATTGGATACACTGTGGACACACAAACAGATTTTTACAAGGTATGAACTAAATCAATATTTCTTACTAAGGCAGTTCAATTATTTGAGTTACTACACAGAATCCTGTATCGTCTTTCACTATCAACTCATAAAAACGAACTGGGGCTTACATGTGTCCCCCTCCATCTAATCACACCTGTCCCCATTCAACACAAAGCATACACCTCTTCCCCTTCTCTCAGAGTCACCTGGTTGAATGACGCTGTCAAGGATTCAGCAGAGTTTCAGTGAAACAAAGAACATTACAGTTCCTGATATCCTGTTGCAAACTAATGCAGGTTGTCCAGTTTATTAACCACTGCCTGTACAATTGCTAGCAGGGTGCTAGTTTGGCTGTGCCCCTTCTTCTCTATCATTTTCTCAATGTTTACTGATGTTTACATTTGAAAACTACAATCTCATCAGCTAGCAGAAGTCAGCAGGAGGAGAGTTTACAGACTGGCGAATTGATTTCCTTGTCCCAGTGAGCAACTTGCAGCCACACGCCACCACCGTCCAAAGCCAACCACAACAAGCGCCATCAAATAGACAAAACAGCATACATTTAGCCGAAATTTAGTGGAGCTGACAGAGCAGCGAGTAGAAACATCTGCACCAAAGTACAAATCTAATGGGAGAGCAGTCTATGAGTGGAATCAGGGGAGCGGCCTGAAGGTCATCATTCACATAAATCTTGGCTAATATAATCAGATACTTTGTTACTGGGGTAATAAGAAGAAGATATATCAGGCAATGCTTTAGTCAAGACCACCTAAACTAAAACCAAGTCATGACCAAGACCAAAGTGTATTGAGACTGAAGCAAGACCAAGACTTTGAGAGGTTGAGACCAAATCAAGACCAAGACCAGGGGTCTCATCTATAACTACTGTATAACGAAACAAGGCCTGAAATAGGCTTACGCCACATCCCACACAAAAGCTGTGATCTATAAAAACAAACTTGATGGAAGAACGTGCACGCCCGTATGGAAACTCAGACCCATGCGTACAAACATTTTGGAGACAAGGAAAATTGGTTGTGCTAGTGAGCCATAACTTTAAGCACCTTTCAATTATAAAAAAATTATAAGCCAACTCAAATCTTAATAAAAGATTCTACTCAATATTTCATCAGCGCTATCTAAATCCTTTCACCACCTGAAATGCGGAGGAGAGGGCTGGACTGTAGGCTACGTAATTGCAGAACAGAGCATCTAAAGTTTTAAATAATGTGATCTAACACTGAGCATAAATCACAAAATACTACCATAACTTTAATGTAGTTTTTGTGTGTAAAATCGCTGCAGTGAACACAACAGTGTGCATCGCCATCGCTGTCACACATGCCTCACTCCTGTCTTCCCCAGTCACCTTATATCTTCACTGCCTGCACATAGAGCCCGGTCTCACTCTGAAGTCGTCGAAATCCGGTGCTTGGGCAGTGACTTGGGGTGGTGGATGGGTCCAACAAACAAAGACTTTCATGTCGGAGAGCAGTGTTCACGTCCCGTAAGATTCTAAAGCCAAACCCTCTTCCTTTTTTCCTAAACCCAACCATATGTGTTTGTCGTTGAAGGAAAAAAAAACAGCAATTCGCAGTGTTGTACCGATACAGTGCATTTATTTTGAAAGAGACTGTATGTAAATGGTAAATTTCCTGTGAAAATGGAAGTGTATGTTGAAAGAATATAATGCATGTAACAGGCAGAACTTGACACAGTGTCCCAGAACGTCAACAACCAACGCACCCAGGGTACCATGCACGTCGTATGTCAGCATAGAAAGTGATATGACCAAACATCAATATGTGACAAGGTTGGAGTGAGAATGTGTTGGCACATATAGTCTGCGTAAAATAGCAAAGTCTGGAAAAAAGCTCTTGCACGACTCCATATTCTCATTATGAGTGCAAGTCATAATGCAGGGCAAGTTTCCTATAACCAAACTTAAATAAATAAATAGTGTTCACCTGTCAAACTTTCATTTTTAAATTATATCTCAGGTTGGGCGATACCACTGATTGTCATGGTCATTTTGGCAAGGTGTTAAGCAATCAGTCTGATTGCTGTAAACACATAAACACTGTGGTGATAGTGTTGCCATGGACCATTGTTCGGCGGGCTCATTTCTATGCATCAGCATTCGTGAGGTGCTGTGCATTGACCATTTATGGCTGAATGTGGGCATGTAGACGAAAGGATATAAGGCTGATCCTACACACTGTTTAATAAATGCAACCCAAGACAAGTGCAGGCCCCACAGTGCATGACACACTTACAATAAAATGTGGAACATGCAAACCATAGGCACACCTCAAACTAATCTGAAAGATCCATATTCCCTTAAAAACACATTCATATCACTAAAAGATGGTGTGTGTGTGTTTGTGTGTGTGTGTGTGTGTGTGTGTGTGTGGGTGTGTGTGTGTATATAACTGTACTATAAGAATAATCAAAAGGCATTGCAGAGTTGAATTTTATGAAGGGGAATTTTCCTTTGTTTTCTATGAGCACACAAATACAAACAAACTCAAAGGAGCTAAAATAATCTTAGCTATCTTTACATGGTCTTGACTGGTCTTGAAATAAAATCCCAATTCCTCTTTGTCTATGATAAAAACAAGACCGAGACCTTCAAAACATAGACAAAGACCAATCTCGGATACTTTAACACTACTGTACAGTATGTTGTCCTCTTATTTTTGCAGTTTTACCTGTGCTTTTGTTGGATCCCCAGACCACAGGTTCACTCCACTCACTCCAGAATAAAGACCCTCCACAGGCGAACTCCATTTTGCTCCGCACTTGCAGCTCAACCAGGGATTTGGTGGAGGGCATGTTGATGCAGTATTCCTGCATCCCAGGTCTGACACGAGAAGTCTGAGGACAGTAAGATGGAGTTGAGAAAGAGAGATGGGTACAAACCAAAGACAAAAAATATAATGATGCAAAGGCTGAGAGATTATCTTCCTTCAAACTGCCTACCTCCCATGAGCTGTCACTGATCCTGTAGCGAGCTTCACTCTCCACACAGTTAGGTAAAATCTGGGTCCAAGTGAGGCACAGATAGATCTGGTCACTCACGTTTGTTGGTGGATTTAACTTCACTAGAGATGACACAGACCATTAATTATACATAATATACAATGTGATAACAAGGTAAAGGGCAGACATATTAAGTCTTGATATTGTCATATATTTTATCTCCTCCAGCCTAAAACCTGAAGGCAATCATGCTTTTGGTCATTAGTCCACAACTAATTGCACAAAGCGCTGGACCAATTAGTGTGGGTTTATGACTGTATGCTCAAGGATCTCTAGTGGTTGCAGTGAATTGCAATTGTTGAGAAAACCTGTTTTATTGACTGTTTTATGCCATTGTTAACTGCTGACTCCTCACTTTTCTTAATTGGCTGATAGGGGTTGCAAGTTTAGGTTAGCTAAAAACGACTAAAAACACAAGCCGTACCATCTGTTGCAGGCCACATCTTGGTCTTTGTTGTGGCTCTTCTTATGGATTTGTGACTATGTTTTAGAAACAACCTGCTGTCTCTGTGATGCCCCCAATCCCAACTTGAAACACATATTATCTGGCTGCAAATCAGCTTTGACCCAGGGCTGGTACAGATGGTGTCACAACCAAGTACTCCGAAAACTGGCAGAGGTGTTGGAGGAACGCAGGCTCGAAGCCAACAGAACCAGCCAATCATCCCCTGAACCGCAGATTCGCTTCATCAGACAGGGAGCTGAAGCAGAAATCACCAACCAGAAGGAGTGGTCAGTACTGAATCCTCGAGACGAATGGCAGATGAAGGTTGACCTGAACCAACAGCTTAAGTTTCCTCTTGAAATATCGATTACTTCCCAACAGCCAGTGTAATTGTAATTTCATTTTCTTTGTGTATTCTTTGTGTTTTCAAATACTTCAGAATGTCTAGACCTCTTAACCTCACACCTAGATACAAAATCCTGCAGGATACGTGTAGTGTAAAAGTTTGTGCCAGCAAATCAAACAGTAAGGTTAAGATGTATAAATTGATTAAGAAACTTATATGATCATGTTTTTTATGTACAAGGCATTATAAAGTTCTTTGATCTACATTTAAATATGATAAAACATTGCTGTATGTGTCAAAGTACTCATAGCACCATAGCACCAGACTATGTAATCATGTTGTATGCACCTACTGAAAGAACACACTGTGTCTTGTTAAACGATGAAACACATACTCAAATGCTGTAATACATACACACATTCACAGATTGCACTCTAAAGGTTCACCTTGCATAAGACTGAGAGCACTGAGGACTGTATAGAAAGTCCCCAAAATACACATGTTTTTTAAAAATAGAGTGAAAGCGAGACCAGACCTAAGGGAAGAAAACTTGGGAAATTCCAGGCTGCATTACACCATTAAAAATGGGCCCAATCAGAATTGGACACAAAGAAAGGTTTTCCACCAATAGAATTGGTCTTAAGAGGGAAAGATTAGCAAAAAGAGGCGGAGACTCATTTGAATCTCCACCAGCATATAAGCCAGGGTTCTGAGAGCAGGTTTTCAGTCACACTCCGGAGTCTGACTCGCTAAGTTGTATGTGTTAAAGCCTGTTGACACATTAAACTTGATTGCATCGGACTTTGCCTGTTTCCAGTGTTTCTTTAAGTATTTGCCAGCTGAGCCTAAGGTACCAAATCGACATCTGAGAACAACTGACAAGGGACAAGAGGTTCAAGGTCGGGAGCCTACAGGCCCACTTCCAGGCACCGATTTTTGACACTTCATATGCCAGGTGTGAAACACAACCTAGGGGGTTGGAGCCAATAGCTGCGGCAGACGAAAGAGTTTGAAAACAATGGGTAGGGGCACTGCTCCCTGCCGCAGACAGAAGGGTGTGAAACACACCGTAAGAGACGTTCCTCAGGTATAAATGTTTAGGCTTTCCTATGTTCGGGGTCTTTCGTCATTCTGACCGCTCGTGTGATGACTGACCTTTTCTTTGCAAAGAAAATAAAAACCTTGTCGGCCGGCAGAAGTCTCTATTTCATTATTCACCAGCAGCAGAGAATTTCCACAACACCAGACATAGTCCTGTGGTCCACTTCTGCCAAGTCAGTAATCATGGCAGAACTCACAGTGCCATGGGAGGAAGGGATGGAGGCAGCTTTTGAGAGGAAGAAGGAGAAGTAGTGCGTGCACAGAAGCAGGGTGGAAGGCATGCACCTACCCTGTGGAAGTCGGATGCAGAGGCTGTGTTGGAATATCCACCCAGCAGCTACTGAAAACCCATGGAGTCATCGGGTCCAAGCAAAAGAGGGCACTCAGAGATCTGGCAGAGGAAGCAGAGAAAGGGAGCTTCTGGCTATGGCTCAGAAGAAAAGACCCCAAGTGAGGGAACCAAGGATCATAGGGCCAGTTGCAGGGAATGGTAGGGAGACGTCCCTACTGCTGCCCCAGCACCCAGAGATGTTCTGGGATCAAAGGGGCGAAACATCTGTGAAGGGTGGCTCCCAGCTGACAACCCGCCGGCTGGCCCGCTGGCACTGGCGAAGGTGCGACAGGCAGAAATACCCTGCAGGTAACCTACACCTGTGCTTCCATCTAATTTAAAAATACATTAATCCTCATAATTACATATTTTGCATACAGTGCCTGTTTGCAGGAAAACCCTAACTGCTCTGTGCAACTTTTCCTAGTTTCCCTCTAGATTACACATTTTAATTACAGTTGAGCTGCACCTGTCATGGAAAATTATTTTGTAAAGCACTCAGTCACATAATCAATTAACACACAAAACACCAAAAATTATTGTAATTACGAGACAAAGACAGACCTCCTCACATTGAATGCTGGATGCCAAAAAATAACTCAAACTCATCTGAACATCTGTTTTAACTTTACGCTTTGGGGCTCCTTTAGTTGAATCTGAGGCCCCCACTTCCTGAAAGACAATCATAAATCCTAGTTTTGTGTATCTTAAAGCTATGGTCTACATTTAGAAAGATTGATCATTATTATTAACATCATTTAGATGGTGGTTATGGCCCAATAGTGCCAGCTACACAATGTGAAGAGCAAAAGGAATCAAAAAAATCCATTCTGTCCAGCGGCTGCAGGCCTGCAAAGAAATTGACCAATCACAGCCATCCGGATCGCATGGGAGTTACTCCTTGCTCAAATTTGCGCTGTCTCTCTCTTACCCTCCGTCCAATCCCGTCGCTCCATTTTGACACTCCTCTGCTCCTCGTCCCGCCTCGTCCCAACCCCCCTCCGCATTTGAAAGTACGAGCGGTTTGTAAGGCCCTCGGGACGGGCGCGCTGCAGTTTGTTTACAATGGTTGCTAAGCTACTAAGAGCAATGCTAACGTTAGCATCCGGTGGTATGTAGACAGCTGAGACGGTGACAACACTCTGCAGGATATTGAGAGAGCGTCAAGGTCTGGACAATAATGGAGAGCAATGATCCTGCTGTTGTTACACCAGTTGTTATGGAGATAAACACAGAGCCCCCCTCCTTTTCTCTTACCAGACTCGATGTTGCTGTCCTGCCGGTGGCTAGTGCGGCCCACTAGCTGTACCGCAGCATCGGGTATGAGCGGGTGAAGCCAGCTTTCCGTTATGATCATAATCCCACAGGTCTGTACATAGCAGTTAGAGGCAATCAATAGCTCCAGTTCGTCCATTTTGTTCAAAATAGATCTGCGGTTGTCAGGAAGATGCTCAGCAGTGACGGAGTGTGAGGGTACTTCTTTAGCCTAGCCAATATCCCTGAGCGGCGCCCGCGCTTCTGCCTTCGCTCCCTCCGGCGTCTGCGTCGCTTACTCAGGCAGCAGATCCACAGTGACTCCGCAGGTCTGCCGATGGCGTCCGGGATGTTGTGTGCCTTTTGAAAGTCTCTCGTGATGTCAACCTTGCATTTCCAGCCAATGTTGATGTCCTGCCGACTATACACAAAATCTGCTTGACATGAGCAGAAAAACGCGGACAAAACTATATATATATGTGAGAAAGCTAAGAGCCGCTGCACTCTGGCGCGCCACCGTGTTCTGTTTCCTCAGTTCCTTTGACCGATGGAGAAAGCTCCGGCAAGATCTGGGCCTGAAAAATGATGCTGATACAGCGGAGTTTTTGTTGAACAGGTAATATTTCGTTTTTATCGTGGATGTTGTGACATAGATAACTGTATGCTGTATGTAACTGTATGTTGCTATGCGGGAGGGGGTGTGTCGTTAGGAGGCTCCGAGGGGAGAGGGACACAAGCTCGGAGGGGAGGGATCATGGAGCACAGAGGGAGGGGTGTGTGTGTGGGGGGGGATGCTTTTTTCAAATCTTTCTCATCGTCTTTCTAAACGTAGACCATAGCTTTAAGGAACCAGTTATACCAAACTCCATGCAGTAGGCAGCATGAAAAGTCACAATTAAAAAATGATAAACCTTAATGGTTCATAATCGTTTGCTTTTTCACTGAAATGATAACCTTATTTGTTTATAAGTCATGTTTATATCACACACTAGTAGGTATAAAAAATGTCTTCCATCAACAAAACAAACAAAAAAAAACAGCAAAAAACAAACAAACAAAAACCTGTTACTTCTTCATTTATTAGTTTAATATTCTGAAAAGTACCTCCCGATGTTATGTTTAACCCTGGTAAATAAGCATACCTTTATCTTTAAGATTATGCTCCTTCTGATGGACGTCTTCTCCGTGTACCAGTCTGGTGTAAAATGTGGTGAACCTCCTGACTGAGTTGGAGTTGTCATAGGGCTGGTTACATCCAGTGTTTATGTTGTTCTCTGACAGATAGGTGGGGCACTCACTGACTACTTTGTCACAGTGGAACCTAAAGAAAGAAATCACTATTCAGTCATTCACACACAAAGCCAAGTATGCAGCCATGCCAACTGTTAATTGATCACGTAATCATTAGGTCACAGTACTTTGGGTAATGTTTTCTCTGATATTTGCTACTTTGAGATATTAGGCCTCGTATTTATCTTAATCTTTTGAGACTTCCACAAGAGATAATGCTCTAAAGAACCAATTTCAGAGCGTAACATCCTTCACTCAGTGTTTGTGTTGAAATGATGCTGTGCCTACAGCATAAGCTCTGTGTACCCTACACCGTAGCCTATGCTGTAGCCTGATGTGCATTGTCCCCGAAATGTAACGATACTCCTTGCAGTTTGATAAATTTCGAGTATACTACAAAATTAGTTTTATTTTGTCAGAGTGACTGTCACTGTAATTACGAACCAGCCATAGAAGGTATAATTGACCTCTGGAGTCCCTTGCTTATTCCAGGAACAGTGAACATATTTCAGATGCACAAACAAACAGTCCACATCTGTCAGAGACACAAGAGGGTAGAGAAAATAAAGATCATTAGGGTTACACATAGGCCAAGTACAGACCTACGCAAATGGTAATAGATTAATAGCAATCCACTTACAAACACACACAATGAGGAAATGGAAACACAATGACGCAAAGGGAATTCGCTTAACCAAGGAAGTACATGTGCTATTAACAGTGTAACAAGTTCTCACTCACTCCGAGTGGTCTCCCAGGTGATAGTCTGGAGTTTGTTTGATCCATCCATCTTTGCTCCTGCCCACTCTTTGCAGATTTTCTTGCTCTATAGGCTACAGCAGTTGCTTTACCATAAACCGAGTTTATGGTAAAGCCCTTAAACTGTCAAATTTTTCCATGTAGTTTCCATGGAAAATATTCATTCCAAATGAGGGTTTACACAGGAGATCAGTTTAATCGCCTTTTAATCGCCTTTATTCCGGTCCGCGCAAGGTTTGGGGCAGGGAAGGTTTCTGATTGTATAGGGGGCGGGGCGGATGTTACGTGTTTACGTTTACTGGAAGAAAACACCGAAGTCCTCGTTCCATTTCGTTAACAAGATGCTTGACGACACTGTTCTTAGTACCTTTTTCAGGCTTGTTTTGCTTATATTCTTGAAGCAGCAGTACGACAACAACTTTGTTCTGCTAATGCTTCGTCTGTTGAGGAGGAGAAGGGAGGTAGAAGGTCGAAGAAGGGAGATAGAAGACCGCTCGGGACTACCTCTTGTTTTTAGAAGCTGCCATCTTGTCGCACGCACTATATATGTCATTGCGCCAGAAGGGCAAAGAAATGAGCATGCGCAGAAAGACCGGAATGAACTTAAAGAGGAATGAGTGTATCCAAGTGCGAGAAATTCTTTAATTCGGAATTAGAATTAGCCCTTACATCGGATTGGATTTTCAATTGCACTGGACATTTTCATTCCGAATGAGGTGTTTACAAGATCACTTTTAATAGGAATGAACTTTCATTCCGAATGAAAAGGGAATTAAACTGTCCATGTAAACGCACTCAGTGTAACATGTTCTCACTCTCAACTCATCAAATACTGACTCTGGTCAGTGGCCCTACACGTCAAACAGTGATGCTCTCGGTAACCCTCCAGTGTCAGTTTTAGATGCTCAGGGACGGCGTGTCAGTATGTCTACACTCCATACATGCATTGTGTCTTGATAAACTTTCATTTCTACAGGAAATTTACAGTTTCCACTCTTTAAATGCGTCCAGTGGTTTAGTCATCCATTAATCATTAGATTGGCAGTTCAGTCCGTCCGCATGTCATCCACACCATTGGTGTGTGAGAATATGTGAATGGTTACTAAATAGCAGGTGGTACCTTGTATGGTAGCCTCAGCTTGGCTTGTCGTCAGTGCCAACCAACCTTTCCCTTTGTGTTTACCTGGTATCAAATCCTCTGCTCACCCGATGTCGCCTCCTGTCTGCCCCCTCTTGGTACAATTACACACAATCAAGTTTGGTGTATGTGTTCATCCAGCAGATGGCAGTGACTAACCTGCTCTCTGCTTAAGCGTGGTTCGCCAAAAGTATTACACTGAATCTATGTCTTGGAAGGTTCCAAACCAAGAAGTTGAGTCTCCCTGTTGTTTCACCTGCCTGCTCATTCTATGTTTTACCAAGCAGTAAATTAAAGGTCATTACAAACTGTCCTGTCTGTCTGTGGTGCTGCATTTGAATCCTTACCACATTGGTCACAATATCCAGTTCTCTTGTCACATGCATGGATTGGGTTTAAAAGATACATCATGGTTTGGCTTAAAGTAAGTACGTTTGTTACTATCTTAATGTGACATATGTCACTAGCATAGTATGCTACACACAGGAGCACACAAAAGCGGGATGTATACCTGCAGACCTACCTCTATGCAGAGCCTACGCTGTAGTCTACGCACATGGCCTACGGCATTGTGAGCATTTATACTTGTACAATGGTGTGTCTGTGTCACTCTGCAGTTAACCCTCCAAAACACTAGTCAGTGGTGGGGTTTCTGTGAAGTGCTGTGAACTTTAGTTGATTCAAAACACACATTAAACATGGCTTAATAGAGACAATTTAAAACACAAGTAGACAAATCGGCTTCACTGTAACTCGCAGCATTCACAGACAAACACTTGTCTTTATCTGGACACATTTTCCCCATAAATATACATGCTAATGTTATTAGCACAAGCCTGTGGCATTTTACATTGTATAAATTAGCTTAGTGGCCAGTGGACTTTTCCTCTACATATATAAAGCCAAAGATAACAGCAACAATTAACAAAGGTAACATTACAAAATCCGGCTCCAATACAACTCACATGGTTCACCGACAAAACAACTGTCTTTTACTAAACATATTTTCCAAACAAGTATAATGTGCTAATGTTATTATCACAGGCCTATGGCATCTTACAATGGATAAATTAGCCTAGTAAGCGGAGATTTCCTCTGCTCATATGAAGCCAGGATAAATCACACATAAGACTTAAAATGCTATTTTATGGAGGCTTTATTGTCTTCACAATTTCTTGTTCCTTATCTGTGAAATCAAAGTAAATAGAAGCTTTGTTTCCACTGAGGGAAATGGTTTCATCTTATAAAAATAGACAGGAGGTCTGTCTTGCCCCTATGTGTAGTTACATTTCTGGGGAGGTTCGTGTCAGGCTATGGTGTAGGGTACGGCGTAGGCTCTACGATGACACAGGTACGGTGTTGATTTGATTTGATGCAGAAGTATAAATCCTACATAAGTTATTAAAATAACTCTGTTTACTTTGGTTTCACATGGGACACAAACAGCGGTCTGCCAGATGAAAATCCATTGTTTGTTTGACCCATTCAACTCCACTCCTGCCCACCCTCTGTGGACTGCTGCTCCAGGTGTGGGAGAGCATGTATGCCCCCTCATCCCTGTTCATTGTCCCTAATATCAGCTGATTGACAGATCAGCTGATAAAGATACATCACAACCACCACCGAGTGACACTTCTGAGGAAGGCAGAAGTTTCCGCCGAAACATGTCAAGGTATGTAACATCCTAATACATGTCTGAGACACCTGCGCTTCGCCAAATGGGTGTGGTCAGGCGGATTTTGCAAGTTTGGCACACCGTGCGCGCTGGCGCAGCTACTCCTCTTTCCCACCTCCGTCCCTCCTACCTGCGCAAGTCGGAAAGAGGGAGGAGAGAAGGCATGGAGTGGGTTTTACACACATCGCACCAATCAAATGAGCCCCTCTCCTCGCCCTTAAATGCGCCGCACAAAGGCGTAATGAGAGTTGAGAGCAGCAGCGTCAGGCGGCCAAACTTCTCCCAGGAGGAAACTGATGTTTTGGTCCGGGAGGTCCAAGCTCGCAGTGTCCGAATATACGGAACTGCGAGCAGACCTCCACGGGCTGATGATGCAAAGGTAGCCTGGGAGGAGGTCACTACAATTGTATATCAATGTTGCGTTTCTCTCGTGTGCGCGTGCTCTCTCTTTCCCTCTCGCAGTCTCACTCGGTTTCTTTTCTTTTGACTTTTCTAAGATGACAGATGCTGAATATATACTCCCTATCTGATGCTGTGGCTGTTTGTGGTTGACTGAGAGGGATGTGAACTCATTAGTTTGCAGCTGTGTTAATCAAATCAGGTTGGGTTTCCATTACGCGTGCCAAACGGTGCCAATCCCCTTTGATCTGACATCAGATGTGACGGGACAGTCGATATAGAGATATATTTATGTGCTGATTGCAGATAGTTGCATTGAATAGTGTTTTTTGTGGGTATTTATTGCATTGTTAATGTGCCTGAAATTCTGGAAACCTGCCTGTGAGGTTTTGGTGACGTGTGCTGCGCTCCGCTTGCACTGATAGTAGCTGGCGAGCTCTTAGCGCACCTTCGGTGAAGCCATTTGGCATGAAACTGTCACTGCACCAAGCTGGATCTGTCGACACCTCCCCCTGCTGCGCCGCCACATCCATTTCAGCGCACCTCGGTCTGCCAAACTACCAAACTGAGTGCGCCTCGGGTTGCACTGCTCGAAATTAGCTCTGCGCGGGATTCGCCACCCTGCGCCACCCTGCGCCGTGCCGGGAAACTAGAGGCCTTCATCTTTGCAGCATGCC